TACTGTGCACCAGTGTTGTGTGTACTGTGCACCAGTGTTAAGTGTGTGTACTGTGCACCAGTGTTGTGTGTACTGTGCACCAGTGTTAAGTGTACTGTGCACCAGTGTTGTGTGTACTGTGCACCAGTGTTAAGTGTGTGTACTGTGCACCAGTGTTGTGTGTATTGTGCACCAGTGTTGTGTGTACTGTGCACCAGTGTTGTGTGTACTGTGCACCAGTGTTAAGTGTGTGTACTGTGCACCAGTGTTGTGTGTACTGTGCACCAGTGTTAAGTGTACTGTGCACCAGTGTTGTGTGTACTGTGCACCAGTGTTAAGTGTACTGTGCACCAGTGTTGTGTGTACTGTGCACCAGTGTTAAGTGTGTGTACTGTGCACCAGTGTTGTGTGTACTGTGCACCAGTGTTGTGTGTACTGTGCACCAGTGTTAAGTGTACTGTGCACCAGTGTTGTGTGTACTGTGCACCAGTGTTAAGTGTGTGTACTGTGCACCAGTGTTGTGTGTACTGTGCACCAGTGTTGTGTGTACTGTGCACCAGTGTTAAGTGTACTGTGCACCAGTGTTGTGTGTACTGTGCACCAGTGTTAAGTGTGTGTACTGTGCACCAGTGTTAAGTGTGTGTACTGTGCACCAGTGTTAAGTGTGTGTACTGTGCACCAGTGTTAAGTGTACTGTGCACCAGTGTTAAGTGTGTGTACTGTGCACCAGTGTTAAGTGTGTGTACTGTGCACCAGTGTTAAATGTGTACTGTGCACCAGTGTTAAGTGTACTGTGCACCAGTGTTGTGTGTACTGTGCACCAGTGTTAAGTGTGTGTACTGTGCACCAGTGTTAAATGTGTACTGTGCACCAGTGTTAAGTGTGTGTACTGTGCACCAGTGTTAAATGTGTACTGTGCACCAGTGTTAAGTGTACTGTGCACCAGTGTTGTGTGTACTGTGCACCAGTGTTAAGTGTGTGTACTGTGCACCAGTGTTGTGTGTACTGTGCACCAGTGTTGTGTGTACTGTGCACCAGTGTTAAGTGTACTGTGCACCAGTGTTGTGTGTACTGTGCACCAGTGTTAAGTGTGTGTACTGTGCACCACTGTTAAATGTGTACTGTGCACCAGTGTTAAGTGTGTGTACTGTGCACCAGTGTTAAATGTGTACTGTGCACCAGTGTTAAGTGTACTGTGCACCAGTGTTGTGTGTACTGTGCACCAGTGTTAAGTGTGTGTACTGTGCACCAGTGTTGTGTGTACTGTGCACCAGAGTTGTGTGTACTGTGCACCAGTGTTAAGTGTACTGTGCACCAGTGTTGTGTGTACTGTGCACCAGTGTTAAGTGTACTGTGCACCCGTGTTGTGTGTACTGTGCACCAGTGTTAAGTATGTGTACTGTGCACCAGTGTTGTGTGTACTGTGCACCAGTGTTAAGTGTGTGTACTGTGCACCAGTGTTAAGTGTACTGTGCACCAGTGTTATGTGTACTGTGCACCAGTGTTAAGTGTGTGTACTGTGCACCAGTGTTAAGTGTACTGTGCACCAGTGTTGTGTGTACTGTGCACCAGTGTTAAGTGTGTGTACTGTGCACCAGTGTTAAGTGTGTGTACTGTGCACCAGTGTTAAGTGTGTGTACTGTGCACCAGTGTTAAATGTGTACTGTGCACCAGTGTTAAGTGTACTGTGCACCAGTGTTGTGTGTACTGTGCACCAGTGTTAAGTGTGTGTACTGTGCACCAGTGTTAAGTGTACTGTGCACCAGTGTTGTGTGTACTGTGCACCAGTGTTAAGTGTGTGTACTGTGCACCAGTGTTAAGTGTGTGTACTGTGCACCAGTGTTAAGTGTACTGTGCACCAGTGTTGTGTGTACTGTGCACCAGTGTTAAGTGTGTGTACTGTGCACCAGTGTTAAGTGTGTGTACTGTGCACCAGTGTTAAATGTGTACTGTGCACCAGTGTTAAGTGTGTGTACTGTGCACCAGTGTTAAGTGTGTGTACTGTGCACCAGTGTTAAATGTGTGTACTGTGCACCAGTGTTAAGTGTGTGTACTGTGCACCAGTGTTAAGTGTGTGTACTGTGCACCAGTGTTAAGTATAAGTGTGTACTGTGCACCAGTGTTAAGTGTAAGTGTGTGCTGTGCACCAGTGTTAAGTGTGTTCTGTGCACCAGTGTTAAGTGTGTGTACTGTGCACCAGTGTGAAGTGTGTGTACTGTGCACCAGTGTTAAGTATAAGTGTGTACTGTGCACCAGTGTTAAATATAAGTGTGTACTGTGCACCAGTGTTAAGTGTGTACTGTGCACCAGCGTGTGTACTGTAGCTCATTAACTGTTTAATAATTGTAAACAAAGCCGTCAAAGATTGAGAAAAGATGTACAGGTTCGTAAGTGCTTGCGTAACTGCTTCGTGAATCTCGCCCCACAGTAAGGGGCGACTCCTCCAGCGTAAATAACTCGTAAATATTTTGCTTAAATTGTAAATTGTAAAAAATTGTAAAAGCGATACAATTTAACGAAGCAAATTATAAAATATTACTATTAAGACAATTGTTTTAAGAGGAACTCTATATTTGTCTTATTAAATGCGTGTTATAGTATATGGCGCTATAGGCTTTGTTCAAGATGGCGGCCACAACCTGTCGTGTCTTGTCCGTTTTCCTTTGTTGTTCTAAAATCAAACGGGAGAAATCGCATTAACATGATGTTTCAGCGAGAAAATTAACGAAGATTCGAGTCTATATTATAGGTACTCCCCAGCACACGCCTTAGACCACTAGAGCACGCCAGGGTCATAAGGACTGTAACCTGGAATTCTACTGAATCCACGAGGGTTCGCGAGGCTTCCTCTGAAGGCGATCTATGAGAGGTTCACACTATTGTATCAACTCTTCCTCATAGACAACAGGACAGAGTAATGATACCTTAAGAAAGCTTTAATAGTATTCAATAAATTAAAATTATTGTGACACAATTCAAAAATCACAAAATATATCTATTAAATAAAAATGGATATGTTCGTTTGTTCAAAATCGCTAATCTCCGAAAGTTCTTTACCAATTGCTTTGAAATTTTGACACAACGTTGCATTCAAATAGGCGCGTTTTTTTATATACCTACTATTTAGATGCCACCCCTGTGGCAGGTAAAAACATGCGTTTTTGAAAAACATCGCCATCTGTTAAACATAATAGCAACATGCACGCTATACTAAATATGTCACAAATTCCATATCAATGTTTCCGATTGCATTGATAAATATTATTTTCATAGATTTCTATTTATTTTATTTGTTATTGAATTATTTTGTGTGACATTGTGTTGTAATTGAGTTGTGTTGTTTACCATACCGTTCATTTTGTAAGTATAAGTATAGATCTACTACTACTACTATTTGGGGGAGCCGGTCGGCCAAGCGGACAGCACGCTGGACTTGTGATCCTGTGGTCCTGGGTTCGATCCCAGGCGCCGGCGAGAAACAATGGGCAGTTTCTTTCACCCTATGCCCCTGATACCTAGCAGTAAAATAGGTACCTGGGTGTTAATCAGCTGTCACGGGCTGCTTCCTGGGGGTGGAGGCCTGGTCGAGGACCGGGCCGCGGGGACACTAAAGCCCCGAAATCATCTGAAGATAACCTCAAGAAGATAGATGCCACACCTGTGACAGGTAAAACTATACTTTTCTTGAAAAACAGCGCCATATGTTGCATGTAAGAGTAACACATGCTATACTAAATATGTTACAGTTTCATTTTAATGTTTCTGATTGCATTGATAAACTTAATTTTTATAGATTTTGGTTTATTGTCATTTTGATTGAATTATTTTGTGTGAATTGCATTGGAACTGAGCTGTGTTGTTTACCATACCGTTCATGTCTTGAGTATAATTTATTTTTATATTTTTTAATTTAATTTTTTAACTGGTTTTCTTATATTTCAGTGATGGGAACATCAGACCATTTGGGAAGGCATCGGACGAGGGAGTGGGGAATGGTGGGGAGGACGAGAGAGACGGGGGAGTTTGGGATGGTGGGGACGAGGGGATGGGGGAATGGTGGGGAGGACAAAGGGACAGGGAAGTGGGGGATGGTGGGAAGGAAGAGGGGATAGTGGAGTGGGGGATGGTGGGGAGGACAAAGGGACAGGGAAGTGGGGGATGGTGGGAAGGAAGAGGGGATAGTGGAGTGGGGGATGGTGGGGAGGACTGGGGGAGAGGGAAGGTTGCTTTGGCTCAGCAACGCGTGGCCGGGTACTGAGTATCACAATAAGAACTAAACTACAAAGTCGACTTTATTATAGAATTTCCACAATATATGCCGGCTTAATTTTTGGTAGCCTCATCTATAGTTTTTTCTTAGTCACAAATTTTCTTGTAATAGTCCAACCTTGAGGAAATAACTCAGGACCGTGTTAACGGCTGGTATATCACTATATTATTAACATGTTAACGGCTGGTATATCACTATATTATTAACATGTTAACGGCTGGTATATCACTATATTATTAACATGTTAACGGCTGGTATATCACTATATTATTAACATGTTAACGGCTGGTATATCACTATATTATTAACATGTTAACGGCTGGTATATCACTATATTATTAACATGTTAACGGCTGGTATATCACTATATTATTAACATGTTCACGGCTGGTATATCACTATATTATTAACATGTTAATGGCCGGTATATCACTATATTATTAACATGTTCACGGCTGGTATATCACTATATTATTAACATGTTCACGGCTGGTATATCACTATATTATTAACATGTTAACGGCTGGTATATCACTATATTATTAACATGTTAATGGCTGGTATATCACTATATTATTAACATGTTAATGGCCGGTATATCACTATATTATTAACATGTTAATGGCAGGTATATCACTATATTATTAACATGTTAATGGCTGGTATATCACTATATTATTAACATGTTAACGGCTGGTATATCACTATATTATTAACATGTTAATGGCTGGTATATCACTATATTATTAACATGTTAATGGCTGGTATATCACTACAAAGTGATGTCATTCCACCACAATGTGATGTCATTCCACCACAAAGTGATGTCATTCCACCACAATGTGATGTCATTCCTCCATCAAGTGATGTCATTCCACCACAAAGTGATGTCATTCTACCACAATGTGATGTCATTCCACCACAAAGTGATGTCATTCCTCCACAAAGTGATGTCATTCCACCACAAAGTGATGTCATTCCACCACAAGGCGATGTCATTCCTCCACAAAGTGATGTCATTCTACCACAAAGTGATGTCATTCCACCTCAAGGTGATGTCATTCCACTACAAGGCTATGTCATTCCTCCACAAAGTGATGTCATTCCACCACAAAGTGATGTCATTCCACCACAAGGCGATGTCATTCCTCCACAAAGTGATGTCATTCCACCACAAAGTGATGTCATTCCTCCACAAAGTGATGTCATTCCACCACAAAGTGATGTCATTCCACCACAATTTAATCTCTTGGCTCCTAGTGTCCTTCAGGCGACTTCTGGCAACTCCTCCCGGCAGTTCCCAATTTGAATTTGAATAATTCCTCAGTGTGGCGCCAGCCCTTGGTGGAGGAGGGCCGTTGTCTTGGCGCTCCTCAGCTGATGGTTCCTGATGCCTACAACCTGTATATGGAACAACCTGCCGGTGAATTACAGGTTGTTCTGGAACGCTTGTGTATCTGCCTTGCTTTCTGGACTATAGCTCCTGGTCTCTGCCTCACGTATAGGTTCTTTGGGATACATGTCATTAATATCATTTTCACTGGATCTTCAACCTCAGGTCCCCAGTTGTTGTTCTGATGGGTAGGTTCTAGAGTATGTACTACTCTAGACAGCCCCTAGAGTACGTACCCCTCTAGACAGCCCTAGAGTATGTACCCCTCTAGACAGTCCCTAGAGTATGTACCCCTCTAGACGGCCCCCTAGAGTACATACCCCTCTAGACAGCCCCTAGAGTATGTACCCCTCTAGACAGCCCTAGAATACGTACCCCTCTAGACAGCCCCTAGTGTACATACTCCTCTAGACAGCCCTAGAGTATTTACCCCTCTAGACAGCCCTAGAGTATGTACCCCTCTAGACAGCCCCTAGTGTACGTACCCCTCTAGACAGCTCCTGGAGTAAGTACCCCTCTAGACAGCCCCTAGAGTACGTACTCCTGTAGACAGCCCTAGAGTACATACCCCCTGTAGACAGCCCCTAGAGTACGTGCCCCTCTAGACAGCCCCTAGAGTATGTACCCCTCTAGACAGTCCCTAGAGTACGTATCCCTCTAGACAGCCCTAGAGTACATACCTCTCTAGACAGCCCCTAGAGTACGTACCCCTCTAGACAGCTGTAACACCGTAAAGATGTTTGGTTTAGTTTTATTTAATATATACATATAGTACATGAGTCACAGACAAGGATTTGAGAGGCGCCAGTTTGTCGGCCTGCAACTCACACCTCTAAGCGTTAATGACCTCAAGTTGACCTGACGTCAGCTCATGCGAATTTCATCTTGCTTTTGCTAATCTGATAATTGTAGCCTGATAGTCGGGTAGGTCCGTCAAACATGCCGACGTTTAAGGAGTGGCTTGGTAGAGAGCCTGACGCCATCTACTTGTGGGCGGAGTTATAGCTACTAGGTTTCCCAATATATACTGAGGGAGCTGTAGAGCATAGAGAGAGAAGCAATAGGAGACTAGCCAGCAGAGCAGAGCAGAGGCCAGCCGTCGAGATAGGCTGTCGCCGGACGGGGGGTTGACGCTGTCTAACAACTGCAGACTCCCCCCCCCCCTCTCTATTCAACTTAGATTCAGTCCTCGGTGAGTGAACATTAAGGTGACTTGGTCGTGTTTACAAGTGTTGTGTGAGGATCAGGGGCACTCAAGTTGTAGGCTTCTCGAATTCTTGGATGATGACTCACTTTGCATATTAATCTTGAACATTAAGTTGAATTGCTTAAATTATGATGCTTATCATGTGAAATATAATTGAATTTATTATTTAAATTGACTTTAACTTGGTTCCCTAGAGTTTTTGAGTTGAGATGAGAAAGCCTCTGCGGCTACTGGGTTCATGATTTTAATGAGTACATGATACAGATGGAACAGACTAATAATGACCTCTTGATAACATCTTTGAGAATATTGTGATACAGACAAGTTCCATTCCTTGTCTTGTAGGTACGGACAAATGAATGGATGGTGGCAACTCTTCTACTATCTACTTTTCTACCTATCTACTTCTCTCCCTCTACCCCTCTCCAAACTCTCCCTTTTAACTGACGACCCTCCTCGCTCCTCCCACCTCTCTACCTCTCTCACCCCAAACCCTCACTAATTACTTCATTATTCATCTCTTCCCTTTCGTTTCTCTTATACGTTTGTGGCAGTGAAATGTGTTCTAGAGTTCTCTAGAGTTTCGGGTAGCTGATCTAATTACGGCGCCTTGAAGTCTTAGCACCTAGGTAGTCAAATACCTAGGTTACAAGGTGTTGAACGAGAGAGGTTGCCTTAGGAACTCTGGGAGTGCTCTAGAATAGTTAGCTAACTGGGGACGGGATAACGGACTAGAGAGAGCTGTTTCCCCCGGCCTCGTTAGTTAACTGGGGGGTGGAATAATGGACAAGAGAGAGCTATTTCCCCCACCCCCCCGTTACACAGCCCCTAGAGTACGTACCCCTCTAGACAGCCCTAGAGTATGTACCCCTTTAGACAGCCCCTGGAGTATGTACCTCTCTAGACAGCTCCTAGAGTACGTACCCCTCTAGACAGCCCCTAGAGTAGACAGCCCTATAGTATAAACCCCTCTAGACAGCCCCTAGAGTACGTACCCCTCTAGACAGCCCCTAGAATACATACCCCTCAAGACAGCCCTAGAGTACGTACCCTTCTAGACAGCCCTAGAGTATGTACCCCTCTAGACAGCCCCTAGAGTACGTACCCCTCTAGACAGCCCTAGAGTATGTACCCCTCTAGACAGCCCTAGAGTACGTACCTTTCTAGACAGCCCTAGAGTATGTACCCCTTTAGACAGCCCTAGAGTACGTACCCTTCTAGACAGCCCTAGAGTATGTACCCCTCTAGACAGCCCTAGAGTACGTACCCTTCTAGACAGCTCTAGAGTACATACCCCTCTTGACAGCCCTAGAGTACGTACCCCTCCAGACAGCCCCTAGAGTACATACCCTCTAGACAGCCCTAGAGTATGTACCCCTCTAGACAGCCCCTAGAGTACGTACCTCTCTAGACAGCCCCTAGAGTATGTACACCTCTAGACAGCTCCAAGGGTACGTACCCCTCTAGACAGCCCTAGAGTACATACCCCTCTAGACAGCCATGGAGTACGCACCCCTCTAGACAGCACTAGAGTACGTACCCTTCTAGACAGCCCTAGAGTATGTACCCCCTCTAGACAGCCCTAGAGTATGTACCCCTCTAGACAGCCCTAGAGTACGTACCCTTTTAGACAGCCCTAGGGTACGTACCCCTCTAGACAGACCTAGAGTACGTACCCCTCTAGACAGCCCTGGAGTACGCACCCCTCTAGACAGCACTAGAGTACGTACCCCTCAGGACAGCTCTTAAGTACGAACCCCTCTAGACAGCCCCTAGAGTATGTACCCCTCTAGACAGCCCTAGAGTACGTACTCCTCTAGACAGCCCTAGAGTACGTACCCCTCTAGACAGCTCTGGAGTACGTACACCTCTTGACAGCCCCTAGAGTATGTACCCCTCTAGACAGCCTTAGAGTACGTACTCCTCTAGACAGCCCTAGAGTACGTATCCCTCTAGACAGCCCCTAGAGTACATACTCCTCTAGACAGCCCCAGAGTACGTATCCCTCTAGACAGCCCTAGGGTACGGACCCCTCTAGACAGACCTAGAGTACGTACCCCTCTAGACAGCCCTAGTGTACGTACTCCTCTAGACAGCCTTAGAGTACGTACCCCTCTAGACAGCCCTAGAGTACGGACCCCTCTAGACAGCCCCTTGAGTATGTACCCCTGTAGACAGACCTAGAGTATGTACCCCACTAGACAGCCCTAGAGTACGTACTACTCTAGACAGCCCTAGAGTGCGTATCCCCCTAGACAACGTACCCCTCTAGACAGCCCCTAGAGTATGTACCCCTCTAGACAGACCTAGAGTACGTACTCCTCTAGACAGCCCTAGAGTACGTAACCCTCTAGACAGCCCTAGGGTACATACTCCTCTAGACAGCCCTAGAGTACGTACCCCTCTAGACAGCCCCTAGAGTATGTACGCCTCTAGACAGCCCTAGAGTACGTACTCCTCTAGACAGCCCTAGAGTACGTACTCCTCTAGACAGCCCTAGAGTACGTACCCCTCTAGACAGCCCTTAGAGTATGTACCCCTCTAGACAGCCCCAGAGTACGTACTCCTCTAGAAAGCCCTAGAGTACATACCCCTCTAGACTGCACTAGAGTACGTACCCCTTTAGACAGCCCTAGAATACATACCCCTCTAGACAGCCCTAGAATACGTACCCTTCTAGACAGCCCTAGAGTATGTACCCCTCTAGACAGCCCCTAGAGTACGTACCCCTCTAGACAGCCCTAGAGTATGTACCCCTCTAGACAGCCCTAGAGTACGTACCTTTCTAGACAGCCCTAGAGTATGTACCCCTCAAGACAGCCCTAGAGTACGTACCCTTCTAGACAGCCCTAGAGTATGTACCCCTCTAGACAGCCCTAGAGTACGTACCCTTCTAGACAGCTCTAGAGTATGTACCCACTCTAGACAGCCCTAGAGTATGTACCCCTCTAGACAGCCCTAGAGTACGTACCCTTTTAGACAGCCTTAGAGTATGTACCCCTCTAGACAGCCCTAGAGTACGTACCCTTCTAGACAGCCCTAGAGTATGTACCCCTCTAGACAGCCCCTAGAGTACGTACCCCTCTAGACAGCCCTAGAGTATGTACCCCTCTAGACAGCCCTAGAGTACGTACCTTTCTAGACAGCCCTAGAGTATGTACCCCTCAAGACAGCCCTAGAGTACGTACCCTTCTAGACAGCCCTAGAGTATGTACCCCTCTAGACAGCCCTAGAGTACGTACCCATCTAGACAGCTCTAGAGTATGTACCCCCTCTAGACAGCCCTAGAGTATGTACCCCTCTAGACAGCCCTAGAGTACGTACCCTTTTAGACAGCCTTAGAGTATGTACCCCTCTAGACAGCCCTAGAGTACGTACCCTTCTAGACAGCCCTAGAGTATGTACCCCTCTAGACAGCCCTAGAGTACGTACCCTTCTAGACAGCTCTAGAGTATGTACTCTTCTAGACAGCCCTAGAGTACGTACCCCTCTAGACAGCCCTAGAGTACGTACCCTTCTAGACAGCCCTAGAGTACGTACCCCTCTAGACAGCCCTAGAGTACGTACCCTTCTAGACAGCCCTAGAGTATGTACCCCTCTAGACAGCCCTAGAGTACGTACCCTTCTAGACAGCCCTAGAGTATGACCCCTCTAGACAGCCATAGAGTACGTACCCTTGTAGACAGCTCTAGAGTATGTACCCCTCTAG